ATTTTAAAAAAAATTTGATTGGCCATTAAATTTTTTAGAATTAATGCTGATTTTACAAAACTTTCCTAAAATAACGGAAATGCCATTAATGTGCCACAAAAAACAACGAAAATGTCATTAAAAATGTTCGAAATTGATATCAAAATTACTGAAACTGCCATTGCATATGTCCAAAATTATCCTTTTCAATTTAATCAATTTACTTATAARACAATGRCAATTTGAGTAATATTTGAATCAATTTTARACATTCTCCTAAATGTACTTCTGCTTTAATATTATAGAGATGTTTACTTCACAATATGTTATTGTTTTAGTGATTTTTCTCCTACCAATCTCATAAGCAATTTAACCCTCAAAGTTAGACTATGTAGAATCCCTATGAGTTGAGCTTCATAATCACTTTTTGAACGATCTTTCTTCAAACCATATTAAGCCAACAAATCGTTATATGTGTTCGTAAGAGAAGACACCTATGTAGAGTACACTCGTCCGATCATTATGTTGTCAAAATTAAAAATGAACGAATTGCACGAAATCGCTAAAAGTTTATCTTCGTTAGTCATTTGGAACTTACGACTGAGTCGACACAATTCATACCATATTATATAACTGTAGGAATTCATACCCATACAACGATTTATAAATATTATATATTAATTACGAATGCAATTGTTATAGTATACTTAGATACAATCGATCACTAGAAAAACATTATAACCACCTAACATTATACGATTGTCAAACTTGCATTTACCTAGAATAAAATATAAGTGATTTCATGATATTTTCAACAATAACAACCACATAAAAAAGAGAGGAGGTTGGACAATTTAGTCTACATTCTTACCGCAAAAGATAAGTGATTCACTTCACATTGTCCAGCAGAGGATGGATAATTCGTTTTAAATCTGAATGAGAAGATTATTGAAACTCCCAACCAAATTAGCGTAAAGGAAGATAATGGACCTGATTTCGTGATTGAAACCATTCATATAATTGTTCCTACTCATTTCTGTGTAATTTGTTCTTTTCACTCCCTCGGCCAAAGTTGTCCAATCAATCCAGCTCGATCACTTTAATCTTAATACATTCGAATTCAACTCTAATCTTTACCCATCTCGTCCAGTCCGCATAATACGTACGTTACAATTATCCACAATCCATAACCACATGTTCGCGCACGCACACCAATTAAGAAGAGGAGGATTGCTATTTTCGACCAATTTGACTAGCGAGAGTCATATTCTCTCGGTTCAATACGATTGTCATTGTCTTGGATCATCTAGACCAAAATAAATTACATATTTTTATACTGTATATATTAAAAAAAAAAAATCAGATTATCACAGTCTAGAGAATAATGGATTCCAACTCCCAAATTTAAAGCTCAAATCCTAATCTTTTGTTGTCTGTCAAGTCTCTAATTAGACGAGTCTCGACAAATAAAGATTGCACAAAGGAAGGTCTCTTGGTCCGCAGCCGATAAAGCATAAAAAAATCTTCGAGCCGACGCAGAGAATGGACGCGACGATAGGGAAGTTCATCGATTCCGTCTCCGACTTCTTCTCCGGTGCTGCCTCTACCTCCGCCGATCAGCTCCCTTTGTGCGACACCGACATCATCTCGGTAATTATTATTATTCGCCTCAAATTGATCGCGTAGAAACCTCGAAATTACGATTTTCCAATTGTTTGGAACCCTACTTCTTCGGGTTTTGGATTCTCTTGCGTTGCTTCTCCTCATACATCTACAAAACATTCTTAGGGATGTGAGAAAGAGTATGCAGAGGCTCAGAAAGGCCAAGACGAAGGACTTAAGAAGGAATGCATCATGCGCTTATCATGGGCTCTTGTTCATTCAAAGATACCAGTGGATGTACAACGTGGGATAGCTATGCTTGAAGGTAATAAACTTTTATCAATTCCATGTGGATATTCAAATCTATGGAATCTCAGCTTACCGAAAATTCTTCCACAAAGGTTTGATGATTATCCATGTTACTGGTTTGATCGTAGCAAAATTGTTTCGGTTTTGTTTGTGCAGCTTCTGTGGTTAATGATACAAGTCCAATGAAACTAAGGGAGAAGCTATATCTACTTGCTGTTGGGTACTATCGAACCAGTGACTTCTCGAGAAGCCGGGATTGTATAGAACGGTGTTTGGAGGTTTGATCATTTGATCCATGGATACTCTAGAATATCTTATTGTTGATGATGACTTGATGTATTCATCAATGCGCTCTTTTTTCTTTTTTCTGGTTTTAGGTTGAACCGGAGTGGAGACAAGCTCAGGCACTGAAAAAGGCTATAGAGGACCGTATTGTGAAAGGTAATAATCACATGGTATCTCTGCAATTTCTCTTTCTCTCTACTTTCTCTCTTAGTTCTATTCTAATTTTCGTGAACAGATGGTGTTATTGGCGTTGGAATTGCTGTTACTGCGGTTGGGATTGTTGCTGGCATTGCTGCATCCTTAATACGCAGAGGCTGAGAAGGAAAACACTCATACTGTCATATATGTGCATGTGTTCCCTGATCTTCAGTGAGTTTGTTTAGTTTCTTTGTGGCCTTGGAAGAATGTCTTTGTTAGAGGGAAAGAAAATGATTTGTAATTCCAATTTTACTAAGAATATAGCTAAACGACATAAGTGATTGAGGAAGCATCAAATGGAAAACTTTATTATTACTTGAGCAGAAATTAGAAGAAAAATGGTACTGTTATCAGGCTTTAATTCGAGGGATAAACTCTAAATTTCGTCATGTCCTAACAAGGCTAGAAGAAAAGCCTTGTAGTCCCCTGATGTCTCTTTTGCTATGGCTTGATCGAGACTCACATTGTTCCTCTTGAGATACAGCTCAGTGATATTCTTCAGGTCCTTTTCTGCTCGTGTGACAATCACACGGCTCAGAGCATCTTCATCAGTCCCCACTGTATTAATTGCATTGCGCAAAACCTAGGCGCAGGAGATAAAAAAAGAAATAGGAATACCAGTTAGTCGTATGGTGATAAACTAGAGACCGCATAGCATTTGAATGACTGGTGTTGTATCTTACCTTTGCGTGGTACCTGTTAGGGTTTTTGATGCACCTGATGGCTGCACGTAGTGCACTCAGGTACTCATTCGTAGGGTGATTGAGGAGATCCTGGTCATCAAATGAATCAATGCGGATATCAAATGGACATTATAATGAAGAAAAACTGGTATGAATGCTTTATTGGTATGTCGCAGTTTATTTATCAATTTTAACGAAATTTATGTCATTTTTTGTATACCTTAGTGATGGATCTGCCATAGATATCTTTGTAGCGGTTGAAGATTGCGCTGAGCTGCACGCTGCTCCTTGTACTTAGCACCCTGATCGTTTCTTCATGATCAACAGCCTTAGCGAGGATTTCAACATGGAGAACCGCAGCCTCTGACCGCGCCAGTGTCTCATCAACTTCGTCTCCATCATATTTATAAGCAGTTGCCATTGCAACCAAGAGCTGTATCAAAATTCCCAAGTGTTCAAGATCAGTCAAAACAAGAAGAAAATATTTGAAATATCGAAAATTACTCACTCTCCTGATGTCGCCAGTAGTACGAGAGGCCAAGTCTTCCTCAAGAGAACGCTTGTAGAGGCAACGGTAAGCACGTCTAGAAGCTAATAGATCTTCAGGGGATCTCATGCAGGAAATCTCGACGAGGACCTTGTAGTCAGGAACAGGCATCTGAAGAGCCAAGTTGGCCAAGTGAGCATCTCTCTCTGGAGGATCCAAGACCCACAAGCATATAGCTTTCTGCAGGTAACAAATGTTTTTCTCCATGAAAATTATGTTTCGTGGATTCATCGAAACAGAGTTATAGCATATATATAGATATAAGCTAGACCTCAAAATCACCAGAGAGCTCAGATTTGAGCTGGTGAATGAGATCCTCATGGTAAATCTCCTGGTAAGCTTGTCGTATGAGCTTCCTCTGGAACAAAGTCCGGTGTCCTAGGATCGAGACGATGGCCTTTTCATCGGTTCCCCATCCTGAAACCCCAAATAAAAGAAGAGGAATGAAGAACAATAGAAAGAAACTTGAACACACAACTTTCGAAACACGAATCTGGAAAAATGTAGAACCTTGACAAGCCTTCTTGATGTTTTCAGCGTCTTCGACAGGGGAGAAATGTGGAGGAGAAACAATGGTGGCCATTCTCTTCTTTCTACTTATCACTTTTTGGATGTTGTTTCCATTGCATTTGAGCTCTCTTTATTTATAAGAGCTGCTTAAGAGGTGACAATTCTTTGAGACCATAAAATGTTCTAATGCTATGTGAATCTGAAACTCTTTTTTTTTCTTTTAATGCTTGCCCGTTTATGTATGACTTTGCCGTTATTTTTTGCAAGGGGAAGTTTTTTTCATGGGAAAATTATTGCATCCCCCAAAATGTTTGTTTTCTCTGGATTTTATTTATGTAATTTAACGAAAAAATTAACCTTCCTTATGTCTTTATATTCTTTCATCATCTACTTTGGTCCAAATATTTGATTAGTCTATGCAAATTCTCACTCTATGCGTCTCACAAATCATCCTATAAAAACTTCGATCGGCATCTCCATAACACAAAAACTTCGTTTGTTTCAATGCAGTTTGGCGTTTATCTGAAAGAAGATTTCAGTTCCTTCTCTTCACAAATTTCAAATACTATAACATCATAAATTTCTTGACCACATTTTTGTGTGTGTGTAAAATACTTTTGCAAAATACCTGTAAACCCAAATACAAACGAAAGAGATTAGTTAACCGGGCGGATTGGACGGGTTGGGCGTGAAAACATTGCAAATTATCGTTGTGAATCTCGCCACTTGTGTAAAATTTTAACATTGTTTTATTTCTGGCCAAGGGCTGGTCGGTTATCAGAAAACCGACCGGGTTGTTAAGAAATTTTTCTTATAACTGACCGGTTTAGCAAAAAAACATTTGAGAAAATAATTTAAATTAACAGCTCATTGGGGAGCTCGAAGAAATCCCCAACTCCGCCAAAGTAGACCGTCTCTCTCTCCGTCTTTCTCTCCCTGCAGTTACCGGATTCCGCCGGTTAGATCTCGCCGTTCACCGCCGGTAAGTTTCTCTTTCTTGACTTTTCCTTTCCCATGCTCTTCTCCGCGCGATGGACCGTCCTTAAGCTCTGACTTTGTTTCATTCGTCGGAGAAAAATCAGCGATTTGTTAAGTAAAACCAGAAAATCACGATTAGCCATTTCCAGCTTGATTCTAAGTGTTTAATAGAAATGAACTACATATAATTCAGTCTCTCTTACTTGGAATTTTTCATTTTGTTTAGGGTTCTGAATCGTGAAATATTATGTTCTTCGATCCTCACCGAAACCCAAATTCCCTTGACGAAACTGCAAAATCTCAATGGTAATACTTTTAGTTGATCGATTTCTCTCTTTTGATTTGTTTCTTATAAGAAATCATTTCTCTGTTTTTTCTGGTTTGTTTTCTTCTTCGTTTTTTCTCTGATACTAATTACCGATTTGGGAATTTTTTCTTTTTTTTGTATTGATTTATCAGATGACTGAAGGAAGCAGAGCAAGAGGACCCAGATCATCATCTGTTAATTCTCTTCCTCTGATTCTCGACATTGAAGATTTCAAGGTAAGGATTCAGCTTGTGGTGCTTTTCTTTCACTTTTGAATCATAAGGGGTTTTGATTCTGATTCTGATTCTTGTCACTTTCAGGGCGATTTCTCATTTGACGCATTATTTGGGAACCTGGTAAACGACCTCTTACCGTCTTTCCTGGAAGAAGAAGCAGATTCCGGTGATGGCCACGGCAACATTGATGGTTTGGCAAATGGTCATTTACGTGGACAATCTGATGCTTCCAGGATTTCTCAGATGTCTTCTGCTCCTTCTTTCCCTGAAGTAGATGGTCTCTTGTCTCTCTTCAAAGATTCTTGCAAAGAGTTAGTTGATCTGCGGAAACAGGTAAAGTCCCTTGGCTCTACATTGACTATAATGTAAATCTCCTTCTTTTCATGGTTTTAATATTTGAATTTTTGTTGGAAGGTTGATGGAAGGCTTAACACATTAAAGAAGGAAGTTTCAAGCCAAGATGCCAAACACCGGAAGACACTGACTGAGGTTTGGCAGACAAATATTTCTTCTTTTTAGTTTATTACTGTCTGTTGAATAACTGAGTTTTAATGATCATTTCTTCAAATTGGTTTTTATTGGATTCTTTTTTTCTTTTCTAGATAGAGAAGGGTGTGGATGGTCTGTTTGAGAGCTTTGCAAGGTTGGATGGTCGTATTTCAAGTGTTGGACAGACTGCTGCTAAAATAGGAGATCATTTGCAGGTGAATTTAGTACCGGATATAACCAACTTATAGGTGGGTCTATGCACTATTAACCCATTCTTCATTTTGTCAGAGTGCAGATGCTCAGCGGGAAACTGCTAGCCAGACGATAGAACTTATAAAGGTAAGTGTGTATCTATGTTGGAAGTTTGGTCGCATAATTAGTTAGATGAAAAGCTTACAGTATTCCTTGTTCAACAAAATGCAGTACCTAATGGAGTTCAACGGAAGCCCTGGGGATCTTATGGAGCTTTCAGCTTTGTTTTCTGATGATAGCCGTGTAGCTGAGGCTGCTTCTATCGCTCAGAAATTACGTATGATGTGATAGCTATATGTTACTTAAAATGTGTCTTGAGTGTTAGGACATTTTTAGCTATTCTTTTTGTTAACAACTAAGATTTTAACTCTCTTGCTTCGAGAACAATGAAAGCTTACAGTTAAATGAGGCTGTAATATATTTTGATGCTCTCCTTGTCAATATCAGGATCCTTTGCTGAGGAAGACATTGGAAGGCAAGGTGCGGGTACAGCTGCCGGAAATGCAACCGCTGGTCGAGGATTGGAAACTGCAGTTGCTAATCTTCAGGATTACTGTAATGGTATAGTAGTTCGTTTATACTTTATTTTTCGTTATATCTACTGAAATGGATTAGTGTATGCTMGTTCTCAACCTTTCTGACATTTGAATACAATGTTGTAGAATTGGAGAACAGGCTTTTATCTCGTTTTGACGCTGCATCACAGCGAAGAGATTTATCCACGATGTCAGAATGTGCTAAGATTTTATCACAGGTGAATACTTTATTCTGCAGCTTACAGTTTTACAACTCAGCAGGAATCTTTTATCTTGAATTCCGAAAAGAAGGCCTTTCTTACTCAGCTAAATACTGGATAATTCTAGAAGGATGTCACAAGACAAAGGATGTCTAGTTCTTCTCTTGAATATATGCTTCTTGATGTTCATTTTTTCTTCTTGATGTTCAGTTATTCTTCTTGATTTTCAGTTTAACAGGGGTACGAGTGCTATGCAACATTATGTGGCAACACGTCCAATGTTTATTGACGTGGAAGTCATGAATTCAGACATTAGGTTGGTGCTTGGTGACAGCGGTTCTCTGCCTAGTCCTAGCAATGTTGCCCGTGGACTCTCTTCTTT